CTCTCGCCGTTCCCCCCCGCCCTCCGCAGCTCCCTCCGCCGCCGCGGAGCCCGGTCCCGCCGCGCTGAAGTTGTCCGGGTCCCGGGGGGGAGGGAGGCGTCCCCGCGGCGGGGATGCTCAGCTCCGGGGCAGGGCGGGCGAGAGCGGGCACCACGTGCAGGGGGCACCGAGCAGGGCCTTCCCGGGGCTCCCGCCCCGGCGGACACCACGGGACCGGCGACGTGGCTGGGAAGAAGACACACCTTTCGTCTTGAATCGCCAGTCGGAGCCTATGCCTAGAACCAGGGGTGTTCCTGTAAGCACACACTTTAAACGAGCAAGGCTCCTTATTTACACTTATAGACCCAAAGTCACTCCACTGAAACGGACGGTTCCTTCTTTTTTACCCATTTTTAAACTATCGCGGTTCAGTACTGCAGACTTAAGTCCAGGCTCAGTTTTTGCGCTGCACAAAGAAAGGTAGGGCCCATATTTCATATGTGAGGAAGGTTGGGGAAAGATGCTCGCCTTAGAGCTGTCTTCAGTTCATGAAGTTACGCAATGCAAAACCCACAACATAAGGCAGGAAAGCACAGGGGCACAGAAAGCTCTTCAGAGGAAATAGCATTAGTATGTACAAAAACCTCTCAAATGAACTCTTTCACCTGAGTAGACTCCAATACTCCATTAAAAAGCAGCCGCCTCTAGGACAAATCTGAACCTTGCACCAGGGTGAATTTCTACCTGGATTACCTTCTGCTCAAGCAGGGTTACCTACTCCTGCACCACCTTTCAAAGCCCTCTCTGCTTTTGTTTCTTCTGGCACCTGGCAGAAGTGGCCAGGCTTCTCTGATCAGCAGATGAGATGGAAGTTTTTCTAGAGAGTGCACTCTAGGATATAAGGCTTTTGGCCAACACTCCGCAGGGCTGAGAGAGCGGGGATACAGGCTTTGTTGTTAACACTTGCTAGGATGTCTCTCAAGTCCAAACAAAAAGAATGAGGCACAGTCGGCATGATACAGGGTGCAGCACTGGTTTGCTCACTGGGAAGCCAGTTTGCTCACTGCTCAGATGGAAGAGTAAAAGCTATAAAATACATGGAGAGCAGAGTACCAAGGCACATAAACCAAGCATAGCAAAAGAAATGCTGTTCTAGTGCGAGTCTATTGAGGATTTGTGGCAAAACCAGTATTTGTGAAAGCACCTGGAGCCTTTCATGCCCTCAGTAAACACCCTACAGTTTCAGTTTTCCTCTAGAATAGGGGAGGGGAAAAAAAAAAAGAAAGAAAAACAGTTAAAATACTGAATGTTTCATGAAATGGAAACTTATTTTCCAGTCAGCCCTACTTCATACACTGAAAACAGCATGTAGCAAAGCCAGTAGCATACAGTTCAGGACTGTTAAAAGGATGCAAGGTATTAATAACTAATCCCCGGGATCCACGCTAAACTCAGTTTTTGTTGACTGCTGTGACTTGTGCTGAAAATCATCTCTCTATGCCTTAATTCATAAGCTATTTTACACAGGACCTTGCATGTGCACTAAGTCATAGCAAAAAGCTAAATAAAACTGCACTTCTCCCTCCTCTCTACATGTCCCCACTTACCCAGGACCATTGTTCAGCTACACTCCTTAGCAATACCTGCTCTATAGCAATTACAGAAGACTACCATGCCGTGTCAGGGCAGATACCAAACTGAGACTACAGCTACTACCTCTCCCTTTCACCCATAGTTGTCCTTCAGTTCCCTACTATACCGGATCAGTGAACAAGCCTGTAGCCCCCTCTGGAACAAGGCCAGAAGTAGCTTGCACAGTGAAGTCCTAAAACACAACACAAGAACTACTGTTCTTGGGTACTTCTGTCATAGCACAAAAAACCAACAGTCCGTTTTCTGCAAATGCATCAGCAGCATGTTTGAGATGAGAACAGTTCTGGATCTGGCAGACCAAGGACAGTACAGTGAGATCTGAAGTCAAGGTGCCCTCCTTGCTTAGCAGCCAACATGGAGCTGTAAATGAGGGGGCTCTGATTTAAAGACGCCCGTACTGAACAGCAGCACCAGGTACCAGGAGAGAGGTGCACTTAGATGTTATACATATTAAGCTAGCATGGCAGGCATTATGACTTGGACATGTGAGGATAAGTGTATTGGACACGACACAGATGTTTGTAAGAAGAAAAAAAAATGAGAATGCAACAGGTAGCTGAAGTTTGAGACCTCTGTTCATTAAACTAACACAATTGTTCTTGGAAAATCTACTCAGAAGAACCCACAAACCCACTAATAAAATAAACCCTGTTTCTTTGGGGGGTTTCCATCACCTTCCAGTGAGGCTGATGATCCAAGCTTAACAGGTACTGAACTGACAGGACTTCTGCCTTTGTGGGGCAGGCTCCAAGGGTCAGTTCCTGATTTACATCAGAGTAAAGAGCAGCAGAATCAAACCAGTGAAAAGAATGAATGTTACTTGACATTTCCAAAGAAGGGCCATGAGGACTGCAACAAGCACATGTCCTTCTTTCAAACTGAGTAGGTTTAAGTAAGTTTAAACAGCAAAATGGAAGCATAAAAATGGCAAAGAATGATTCTTTAGGAACTGTGATGCATATGACTCAAGTGTTTACATGCCACAAAATACTCAGTAATATCATGTACCCAATTAGGTAAATCTTAAAGCCAGTAAACAAAGCTTATAGAACTTGGAAAGATAAATAGAGCTGACATACATCAAGATATTGCTAGATGAGTTAACTCATTTTAATCCAAAAACAAGGTAAACCAAAATAAAATTTATTTCTCTGCAAAGGGACAGAATGTACCCGAGCAATATTTCAATGGGACATCAGCAGCGCATAAATCTTGCTATGGCTCCATTGATGGGCTTGCACTACTAAATAATAATGCAAATAACATCTCAAGAGTTACTGTGAAAATGCTACAAATATTTAAATTTTCGCCTATCAGTAGAACATGGGTATTAGAAATAATAGTGCTCTTGAATAAAAGCAGAGATTGCATTTGCTAGAACACAAAGAAAGCTGTGAAAGACTCATTGAGGTCAGAAGACCATTACAGGGAACACAGTGTCATGTGTGTTTCTCCCTTATTAAATTAAAATGCCATTGGCCTTCTGAAGCATGGAACAGAAATGAGAATATGTTTGGGATTATGGAATTTAAATTAATACCTTCTACTAAAAAAGAGGAATGCACTGTGCTCTGATCAGGGAAAAATAAGGTGATTTAGCAGACAAGGCTCTTTGCTAGGTATTAAAATAGCATAATGTGCATGAGTTCATCGGTTACAAAAGCCAAAGAAGAAAGAAAATCTACAAAAGCTCAAAGAAGAGACTAGTCAGGAACGGTAATTTCTTTGTGTTCATACAAAAGCAGGCAATAATCTTTCAACATGCTGGGTCCATTCTGCTTCTGTTTTCACCCATACTGCCTACCTGTAGTTCTTGGAACATTGCAACTGGTACACAGATAAACACCCTGTGCAGGTGGGTTGGGGTTTTTTTGCAAGTCTTTGCCCTTGTATTTTCTGGCCACACACAGTTGGATATGGAGAGAAATGGCCCATTAGCCTCAACAGCTTTGTTCAAGCTGGTGCTGATGCAAATCTCAGACCTTGTCCCTCTTTGTAAATTTATAAAACTCCTACGGGAGCACTTGGTGCTCATTCCTTGACACTCACTCCATGGAACTATTTGTGATCAGTGATGGTATATTCCTCAGTGATGGCAGATAACCACTTCTCAGCACCTTTCTTTGCAGGAGCCATTTGAGCAAAATCTACCCTAGAATGGGCCAAAAAATACAGCCCTTTTCAGTGAAAAAAAAAAAAAGTACTTACCCCACTGTCATCACTGTGCTGTCTGAGTATTTCTGCTTACGTTTTGCCCCTTCTTCGTGAAGCAGAGCACTGCTGACGAAGAGGGATGATGGCAGGGTCTGCTTCAGAGGCATACTAACCATGTAGAGCTTCTACTGCATCCAGCTCCGCCAAAGCACAGAACACTCTCGTCAGAGCCAGTGGAAGCTGCAGCACAAAGTTCAGGGGTTTGCTGAAGGTCACACAATAAATTTGTGGCCAAGTAGGGAATCATCTGTCAGTCCTCATTCTAGTGATTTAATGAGAGGATTAGCCTCTTCCTGATCTGTATAAAATTGCACTCATTTTAAGGCAAAGATTGCAGCTATTCTGCTGGAGACTCTACCACAGAAAAAGTATACCACACACCTTCTGACAGCAAGTGGAAGATGAGACAGAAAAAAAAAAAAAAAAAAGACTAGCTTGATTTTGTACATCAGACAAGAAAGACCAATTCTTTGGTTGCTTTTCTGTGGTCAAAAAAGCAGTGCTATCACATGAACAAGAGGGAACAGAAACTACTTACGCCAGCTTCTGGTGGAAAGACTGACTTGGTAAAATCCCAACCTCCTCTCAGCTCACCAAAGCAGATTCAGGAGAAACAGAAAAGATGTTGCATAGCCTTGATCATTTAATAGGTTTATCCTCAGACACATAAAAAGCTTAGTAATGAGTACTTAGTAGCTGCATTTCCAGACATTAAGAAGAAATCTAATATTACATGTAAAGAAGGCTTTGTGTATCAAGTATCTTTAATCTGAATTAGTGAGAAAGGGTTGTTCTGGATATTTTTCAGCACAGTGACGCTTCCTCAGAAGCTGGAACTTCTAGGAGTTCTCCAGACCTA